TCAGGCAAGTGGAAATTCGCTTAGTCTGCAGGTTTGCTGTGTCGGGGTATTTTTAATTATAATTGGCACTTTGTGATACATTAATTGAGTATATACGAATGTTACTATCGTTTAAGCGATGAAATACAAGTTTACAGCTCAACATTTCAAATTTTGATTACATATTAAAAATTTGAACTCACGTATATTTTCCCCTTAGTAATTATGAAACATAATTTTGCAAACTTCAGTAGCAAAAAGGTTTTCTAAACATATACATCTTATAACAAAACTAATTTATTGGTATATCAACACTGATTGCAAGTCCTCTTCTCGATTTAAAGTGATTCTGATATTTTGATTATACTTTCATTATATTTTGACTCTATTCCAGTGATATGAAACTAGCCTAGGCTGTTTCTGAATAAAGGTACTTTTTGGCATAACCTTTAGAATATGTAGTATCATTTACATATTTGTAATTACTAACAATTAATTATTTCGATAAGTTTAAGGGATTAATCCCCTAAAAGATATTATTATGTTTATTCTTATTTAATAATCTGTTTCTAATTTTCAAATTATTAATTAAATCGGGGCCAAACCTAAAGCAATGCGATTCATTTGTAATACATTTAGAAATTATTCTATTTTTAACAAATGTGTTGCTTAACAATTACCATACGGTGTAAGGTAAGTTTACTGATGTTGATAAGTATAACTACCATTTAATGCAACAGAAAAAATGTATACTTTACGCATTATTGTTGGTTATGAATTAAGTATAAAAGAATCATTTTTTAAAGTCAATCTTTGCTCGCATTATTTAGTTGTCTTAGAAGTTCATACACATCTAAATCTACTGATTGATATTCCACCACAGCGTCTGCAATTTTCTTCTGTGGAAAAGCTGTTGTCCAAGCGACAATAATAATGAACGAGCGGCCGACCCTCAGAACAATGGACTGAGGAGGACGGGCAGCAGGTAGGCTGCCGAGCAGCCCAGCCCTACTAGGGGTAGCGTTTCAGGGGGGGACGATTCCGGGGTGTACATAGGGGATGCCTTGCCGGGGAAGACCTTTCCGTTTCTACTTGTTTGAATTAAAATTAATAACATAATTAGTTCATATCAACTAGATTTTGATAAATTACTTGTCAAGCCCTTGGGGGGGAACGATTCCGGTCGCGGACATAGATTTTATACCAGCTGGTTGTTTGGTTTCGTGACGTCACGTTTAGCCTGGGGGGTGATGTTTCCGGGGGCGACCATTCCGGCGACCCGCTGCTAGCAAATACGAATAGTAGCGCTGATTTGCAGTAGTAGTTCAATAAAATAACAAGCGACCGGCTGACCGGCACAACTAATTGTGACCAACGGGATTGATTTATTTAGTATCTTATATGCATTAGAAATCATGTACTACCACAAAGTCTTCTTTTTACATCAATTACAATTCCATAATACCCCCACCGCAGCAAACCTGCAGCCAAATCAAATTTCCATTTGTGTGGCTTTATTTTCAATTCAATCTAATTCAATAACGTTAGGTTTAACGAGTACCTAGGTTTGCTGCCTACAGGGAGGGTAACGAAGTGTGATTTTTAGAAAAATATTATTAGCTTAGTATGAAATAAATAAATTTGCTAAGTTTAAAGAAAATCTATTCATAAACGAGCAATATTACAACAGTTTACTTATCCGACTAAATATTATAAGTAAGAAAGTTTAGATGTATATGGATGTATGGATGGATGGATGGATGGATGGATGGATGGATGGATGGATGGATGTTTGTGACAAGTAAACGCGAAGAATACTAAACCGACAAGGTTGAAATTTGGTATGACGATAGCTGACATTCCCGATTAACATATAGACATATTCTTACCTCAAAAATCCTTTCAGGCTCCACCCCAGTGGCTCTGGCCATGGAGTGCCTCATGTTAACCTTATGAGTATTCATATTTAAAGAAATTAAAGAATTTTGTCAGCCTTTTCAACTGCACAAGTTGGTTCTATGATAATAGGGTTCTATGGTTCTTGCCAATAGGGTACAGCACTATTATGTTTTTTGCATTTATGACCACAGCTAATTTGAACCAACTAGCAACAAAAAGTTGTGGTACACAATGAGAACTTTACTTTTTTCCATGGTTTAGGTGCAGTGGTAGAACATTAGGGCTATGGTAGATGTGTGTTACACTATAGGATACCGTATAAATTAAAAGACCAAATTGTCTTGAACCGCGTCTTTCTCCCATAACTGCAATAAACATTTATACTTATATGCAAACCCCGTACGAAGGACGGGTACTCTGCTAGTTATAGATAAAACATAGTCTCTTAACTATTAACCTACAAAATCAGAGCTATATTGCTTAGGTAGTTTAGGTGTGGTTGAAAGAACTGGGCGCTGGGAGGCAAAACGCGATAATTCCTCGGACGATTCGGTAACGGGGATATTCCCGGCGAGCCGGGTAGATGCAGGGAGACGTCCGCTCAATTACCCACCCGAACCAGTTTTGTCCGGCTCACGCACTGTCCGCCTCACGCACGTCCGGGGGAAACACGGCACCATAGTCAGTGAAGAATTAATATCAGTTAGGCTATCCTTTTCACTAATCATTGTAAAATTCACTACTAAGATATTCCAATCGTGAGTAAAACCATAGGTTAAAGATTAAACATACAGTTAGTCAATGGCAAAATGTTAAACGGTGGTCGTTACTAAATGGTTAGGGTTTTATGAAGTTTGGCGACTCTTGTTTGAGGTTTTTGCCGAAGCAATCTCGACATCTAGAAGCATTGGTCCACCGAAATTTCTAAAAAACCAGATTTTTGCTGTTTATTTATTATCAACAGTTCTACTATTTTTACAATGTAAGTTATTAATAACAATCAAGACAGCTATATTTTAAATAAATAACAAACAATAATATACAATCAATTAATATCAAAATTACAACTATAATCTTTATCAATATCAATGTTATCGTTATCAATAATTACCCAATCCTATTCAATAAGTAGTCACCACACCATAGTTAGTTATTTTTGACAGAAATTTAATAAAATAATATCGTATTTATTATATCAAAGATTAAAATGGAGACGCAATCAGGTGCGTTTTGACTCAAATTTGAATGAGCGGTGAGTGTGTATACATGGCAACCCTGAACCCTTAACCAGTGGTGGTTCTAGGACCTTGTAAAGGGGGGGCTTGAGGGGTGTGGAGCACCCCACAATAAAGCAGGGGGGTCCTCCCCCGGGAAAATTTGGAATTTTCAAAGCCCACAAAAGTTAGTTAAGCACGTTAAGTTAGTTAGTGTTAGTTGGTAATAGCTACTTCCCTATTGGGAAATTCGCTAAAAAGTGAAATTCTATTTTATAACATATAACCAACTTGTGTAGTTGGTTATATATTATTAACAAATTCTCTTATTCCTTTTAAATATGAATACAGTATTTATTACCATTTTGTTCTTGTGGTTTTGCTGTTATTTTGTATCCCTGTTATTATATCATTCGCTGTTTGTTGTTTTTCAATAAAGTCAGGTTTCATATCATCAGGTGTCATATTAACTTACCTTTTCAGTTTTTCATTGTTTGTCAATACCATCCTAGTATAATCCGAGATTGAACGTCAAGTACTTACATTTACTTGTGACTTATCGAAATTGTAGATAACCGACATAGAACCGGGTCTAAGCCCCGGGTCACACGAATGACTTATCTAGCTGACTAGGCTGTGACTAGGTTAGCCCGACTGGGTAGCGGACCACAGAATACACCGGTTCACACGAGCGACATGTCCACGGACTCGAAGAAAATATCGGTTTTTAAAACCACTCGGATCCATCACTGGTGCACAATGAGAACAGAGGGAAGCAGCGCGACTTACCGATCGCTTGTGTGAACGCTGCAACGCTCCCAAGGCTACGCCGCTAGAGCGGGTGACTGGATTTTGGGACGCCGAGCTTGAACGCGGCTAGCTATAGCTAGTCGTCGCCCTACGCTCGTGTAGTCGTGTGAACGGCTCCATTTGATCCTGTGGTCCACTACCCAGTCAGGCTTACCTATATAGTCACAGACCGGGCCTTAGTGACAAACGAGACTCGGGACAGACAGGACAGGAGCGGACGAGCTAAGCAAAACAGACGACAGATCGCCTAGTCATCAAGAGAAACTAGTTCTTCTTTATCAATGGCCAATGGCCAGTTTTTCGTTTGCTTTGCAATAAGTGATCAGTCAGGCTGTAGACGCTTTTGTGGAGTTAAATGTGGCCGTCGTGAGTGAGAACATAGACAAAAAGAAATTCTTTTTTCCTACAGTTACCTAACAATGTACATGTTCTCTCACTGATTTGAGAAAGCAAAGTGGCCAATTCGCTCATCAGTGAGACAATGTTAACATTGTCTCACTCTAATTACTTTGTCTCACTCCAGATTTGCAACGTGAAGGCACGAAATAGTGAGCGCGTAACATGCAGGCAACGTCGTATGCGCGCGAAATACGTTGGCAGCACTGGCTGTAAATCAGCTGGTCAGCTGTTGTACTGTTGTATTATTTGTCACTTCACATTAAAATGTTATATTCACTTCTGTGTAAAAATAGGTTATGTTTCTTCACAAATTTATTTGTTTTATGGTAACTGTAGGAAAAGTATAATGTGCAACTCGAGTTCAAAGTACAATTGCCTCACTCGAGAAACCATTCCTCACTCGCCTACGGCTCGTGAGTAAGGATTTCTCTCGAGTGAGTCAATTGCTCACTTTTCTCACTAGTTGCACAAATAACTATTTCCTATGGTGACTGGTGAGTGAAGTTTGATGCCTGCCTTTGCCAGCTGAGCCAAGTGTCTTGCTGCCATCACCACTATCACATTGCATATGAGAAGAAAAAAACTGAAAAAATGGAAGCAATACTCATACTGGTTATTGTTATTAGTTTTGGTTGGTTAAGCCTGCCTTATCTCATCTCGGTCAGGTCTTATCTTTATCGATATAGGCTATGGCTAGATTCTTCATTCTTCATTATTGAAAAACAAAATAATGTCCTTGGAAGTATACTAAAGTCAAAACAATTGAATAAAAATTCTTACATCTAGTCTTAGTCCTAGCCCGAGCACTGAACTTAACCTCAAGGGTAAGTCAAGTTGATATATTCTCTAAATAAAGCAATTTATAGGCCTAGGCCTACTGGTATTAAATAATTTAACTCAAATTATTTGTTCACACTTTAGGCAAGTTATTATTTAAGTTAAGGCTAGGGTACAGTTTCTTAACTGGGCTTTGCTGATGATTGAAACTATCTATTCAATTATTAAAACTTCATGCAATTTTTTGTAATTTATTTAGGCCTAAGCTTAGTTATTCGTGCCTTCAAACTAATTTTTAATTTTGATATCTTACTTTATATTTTTTTTACCTCCTGAATCCAAATAAGTATACCATCATTATTCACCGCTGATGAATATTTCTCAAGATATCGCCGTCAAAATATACAACATTACAATAAACAAGGTAGGATGGATGACATTTACAAGTAAATGAACTGCAGTGTGTTAACTAAGCCTACAGCTGACTGTTTTCAACCAAACGACAAGCTGGAAGAAACAACTTTTGAACTTTAATAACTTACTCTGATTTTGTCATCGGCAATAGGCCTAGTGACGTCATTTTACTTCACTACAACTAGAAACTAAGTTAGAACACAAAACAAAAATAACCTAGGCCTACTCATACTCATACTACTGTGCTGCGTAGTGGCGCTTCCATTTTTGAAATAGTAAATAATTTGAAGTGTTTTTCTCAGGATTTAAATTTTACAAAAACAGTCTGTCGGTGACTTAAACTAACAACTCAATTCATTATAACCTAAACTTTAACTTAACTTCATTTTCAGCAAGTTTGGTTAGGTAGGTTAGGTTTTGACAGTTTCATTTTATAATATAATATAATATAGCGTAATATAGGCTATATTATAGCCTAACTTATATTAAAAAAGTATTGATTATTAATCAATTTTTCAATTTGATAGTTTCAATCTATATTGATATTAGCATAGCCCAGTTAAGAAACTGTATGTAGGCCTACCCAAAAATAAATTTTGGTAAACAGTGAGAAAACCAAACTTACTCTGTATTACATTATAGGCTACTACAACAACAATAGTGTTTAAAAACTTAGCAATGAGATATGCCTACAGCACATTACCCCTCAATTTCATTAAATGCATTATCTTCAGGAGCAGAATGGCCGGAGCAGTTCTGGTGACTGGTGGCGCAGGGTATGTTGGGTCTCACACGGTGTTGGAGTTGCTCAAAATAGACTATGAGGTGGTGGTGGTTGACAATCTTGTAAACTCTTATAAAGGTGAGGGGTTGTGGATCACCAAGGTTTAGGGTATTATTTTAATATTGTGTGTGTGCACGTCTGCAAGTTAGTAGTAGTAACTATTTACTCTTAGTATTAAGTTACGTTACTGTAGAATAGGCCTACTGTTCTTAAGGACTCAGTCATTCTGAAACAGCTTGCTGGTTTGTGCTCTCAATCCATAAATTCCATCAGCATAAATTACTGGCAAATACAATTTTGATTTAAAAGTTGTAACTAAAAATGTGCCATTTTTATAAGTAGGCATAATATAGAGGCTCTTTAGAGGTTAGTTATTGTATAATGAATAAACATCCACTTACAATGTTAAATCTGTGATGAAAATATGTGTATGATAATATTTATTAGCCTAATGCAACCTTGAGGTTGTAGGTACCAAGTCATCTAGTATTGGTGTGGGTAAAATGAGGTTTTGCATGGAATTAATTCTTCATTCTTAACCTGCTATAGTTTATGTTTAGGTTATCACTATAATATGGATTGCTGTCTCAGTATTGGGCGCACAGTCTGAAACTTCCCTCACTCCAGAAGGCACTGCCTTTGCAATCCATAATATAAAACGATTACTTTGCTGTTGACCTAAAGTCATATATTGAGTTAAATTATTTTTTTTTGTCAGCGTATTATTTTTAATGGTTTTTGGGCACATTTATCTTGCAGAGAAAACCGATCAGAAAAAGGTCCAGTAATGTATTTGTTTTTAGGAAGAGTGCATTGATAGCAATGACTTCTACCCGTCACAAATTGAAGGAATTCTGCTTAACAGAGAGTGCAATATAGTAGTTTTTATCTCTAGGCTTTAAAGTCTTTTAATGGCTTAATCTTGTTAATTGAATTAGCGATTGTACAATAATAGTACCTATAAATTTCTGTTTTTTTACCATGGTTTACTATTAGTAAATACTGACAGGTCATCTTAATAGTATATGTTGCAAACATTATTGCGACGTATGCCACAGAGAAGGTAGTTTTCTAATGTACATTCAGATTTATAAAATTATGAATGCTGTTTTTTTCGACGTACAAAAATATGCATTACTACATCTTGGTTTTTTGTAATTAATTTTCCTCCATTTGTCTCTGTTTTATCACGTCTCCCTTGTACCTCTATGTATCCGTTATCTTTGTCATCTTCATATTCGCCCATACTCCTCTGTGTGCAGTGGGACAACGGTTGTTGATTAAAACAATTGAATCAATCAGGTGTAGTACACAGCTGTTATTAGGTTATCAGACATCTGAGCCTAATTGTTCATTACAGACTCAACAGGAGATATGCCTAGTAAATTTAAAAATCAAGTTTGGGAATTAGCGACTAAAAAAAGGTTATTTTCAAAAATTATCTTATGATAACATTGCCAACTACAAAAACACTACAAACACACAACAAACAACCAAACTATGCAAAATGTATCAATGCTATACAAGTACACTTTGAAAACATTGCAACTAATTAAAACTTTAAAACTTTTATATAATTTATGATTCCAATAAAAATAAAAATGTGAGAAAACTTCATAACCTAGTTTTAGCAAAATCCCATATAGGAAATAAGCTAATACTGTAGGTCTCATGGTAAGACCTTGATTAAAACCCCCCGATTTACTTTTTGTTTTGAGGTCCCCAGAAGCCAAAAACGCTGTGCATTCAAATATGTATTTGTCCGTTAGCGTAATAACTCAAGCAAAAATTATCCAAATTTGATGAAATTTGGTTTAAATGTGTAAACCTTTGTTTATTCAAACGAGTTCGCGAACCAGCTTAATCAGACTACAGGAACAAAAAAATAAAAAAATAAAAACTAAAAAACAAATAAAACTAAGAGAAAAGGAGTTGACAAGAAGGGACTTTATGGGGTAAAGATTGGGTTTTCCCATTTTTTGACCCAAAAACACAAAATTTTCCATTTTTTCCAACCAATTTTGTAGAGCTTAAAACAAAAATAATTTGGTATCCTACATTGAAGTATTGTTGTATGCCTAACGGCATTGACTATTGGATGCTAATGGTTACAAAGATAGTTTGAAAAATTGGAAATTTAAAATTCCCATGTTATTTTTACGGAGAAGAAATAAACTGTTGTAGTTTGCTTCTCTATAGATATATTTAAATCAAATTTGGCAATTGATCGAGTCAGGTGGAGTCGTGGTGGACCTTGTCCTGGCAATTTTGTTTATTTCACGCTAAGCTATCAACATTTCAATAAAAAAACACACCTCTTATTTACCTTCCCTGAAGTAGTAAACCTAAGTACTCATTAAAACTAATGTTATTTAAATGGGAAATAGATCTGACAATTAAGGGAACTAGTTGTTCTGCCCGTGCTTCGCTACGGGGTGAGAATGCAGAAAAGAATAATTTGGTTTTTTAAATCTACTAGAAAAAACAGTTACAACACAGTTACCAGGAAACATAAAGGCAAAGCTCAATCGTACTTATTGATAATTCTGATATTTATTTGTATCTAACAGAATACTTGCTTTATATCAGACGATGTGTTTATACTGTACTAACATGCACACATGACGGAATGGGCACACAGGAGGGACTAAGGCTAAAGGTGTAGTGATGTCATATCTCTAGTGGCTAATGTCTACTCTTGAGGCAACACGATTACCGTAACGAAACGATGTGTTTTCAGCGGCGTTCGTGGCATAGTTAGTAGCGTTTCGATTTGATGTTCAGGAGGTCCCGGGTTCGAATCCCGCTGGTAGCACTAACTTTTTGTCAATAAATTTTTCATATCAGCAAGTTTGGTTGGTTAGGTTAGGTTATGACAGTTTAATTTTATAATACTAAATTTTAAAATTAATTTTATAATTAATTAAAAGTTATAAGTAATCATTAATTAGATTTTTATCTTATACAGTTTATATATTATCAGCAAGTCTGGTTGGTTAGGTTATGTTATGTTAAAAATTTATTTTATAATTTTAAAACAATATTTCATAATTAAAAAGTTAATTTTATAACTAAAAATGAAAAAAATTACATTTTTTCAACTTAGCGGTTCTAGCGGCGAACGCTGACACTACAAGATATGTTAGCCTTAGTCCCTCCCGTGTGCCCCACCGCACACATGACGCCAAATATTTTGACACTTGTCAAATTCCACTACTGAAGTATAAGATTTATTATACAGCTGGGTTAGTAAATTTACTTCATAAGAAATAAATTGGGATTTTTATGGCCCGTGGGGCAAAGCCCGAGGAACTTTTATTACTGTACAGGAATTGCTGAAAGATTATGGTGATGTCTACACAAAAAAATACTTAATTTTGACACATCGTTTGTAAAAATCCGCCCATTATTAACGGAGGAGTAGTGTTTCGTAGAAATTACCTTCACATTTTAGTTGAAATCCAGCCAGGCAAATGGAAATTCGCTTAGTCTTTAGGTTTGCTGTGGCAGGGGTATTTTATTTGATGCCAACTGATTTAAAGATATTTTTCCTAGTTAGACTAATTAATTGTTGTCACAGCCCTGAGCTCAGAACTCCCAGAATGCCTCAGGAGGGTAGAGAAACTGGCAGGGAGAAAAGTCACATTCTACAACTTGGACCTCAGCGATAGAGGAGCTTTATCAAAAGTCTTCAAAAAGGTATTTCCATCACATACAAGTAGCTGTTTTCTATGACTGCCGATCTCAAAGAACATTATCGTTTCCCAAAAACTTCCGTAATGGAAATAAATCAGATGATTTTCCCTTGCTTGTAATTAACTCTTCTATTGCACTCAATTAGTTTTCAATTAACACTTTATGTACATTTTGTTTCCTTTAAACATTTTTTTCTAATAAAATAAGTTTTTTTCAGTTTTAATCTTACTCAGATCTGATAAATATTGTGTGGGTGTTTTTTGCATCAACATGAAAAGTTGTCACTTGTGTGTTCGAAGTGTTTTTCTGGCACTTGCTTCATTTCTTTTTCAATTACCTCGTTTTCATATCAATTATTCCTCAATTGGACCTCAATTTTCTCGCCTTCCATGAACATTGTACACAGAAAATTGCCACTTTTGGTATTTGTAATAAAATATATTACTGCATCAATCAACTGTTTGTTTAATGAAAATAATTTATATGTTGTAATCAATTTTTTCAAGCTAACAATAAAAATAACTTCAAAGCCTAATAATCTTTAAGCCGAGTCTACACAAGTGTTACAGCAAAATGTCTAAAGCTATGTTTAGTACCGAGGAAAAAAAACATATGTTTTAACCAATGTTTACAACAAACAAAAGAAAAATTTTTTTTCGTCATACTGCAGCAAAAACAGCCATTTTTAATGCCTGCACTGCACTTTTAAAGTAGCATGTTTACTCTTTAGGGAGTAAAATTTATTTTTAGTTAAAAATCAGCTGTTGTAAACAGTTCTAAATTTCGATTGTGCAATCGTATTGATCAAAATTATTTATCGATTGATGTATTAGGTAAGGTTTTAGCCTATTGTTGTCGATCGCTCGACATATCGATGGTATAATGTTCCAATTGTAATAGACGAAATGATTGAACCACTTACTAAACAGCTGCTTATTTGCATCAGCAGAATTGAAAAAAAGCTGGAAGTCGTTTTGAGAGGTTATCTTTAAAAAAAATTTTGTTGTTGTTGTATGCTTAGTTTGTTAATTAAGGATGCAATATGGCGAAAAATATAGTTCACCACACGGGCAAAAAGTGTATTTTTAACCTTGCTCATTTTCTGACCTCGGGTCAAAAAGTTTTTTTAGGCCCTAGTAATGAAGTATACTACTGTTGAGATTACTTCGATTTTGTCTACAGTTTTTCAGTGCTTACAACAGGAATTTTGTTTTCCAAAAGTCGACAAATGCTCTCTGAGTATTGTAAACATTTGAGGCTTAAATTGTTGACAACACATGGTAATAACACATGTTAACACTGGAGTTTTAAACAAAACATTTTAAAATCTTGCTGTCAGCTATAATTACAACAGTTACAACTAGAGTCTTTGACAAATTGTCGGAAACTCCAGTGTTAACCAAGGCAACACTAAATAAACAAGCCGTAATGCTCTTCTGGCATGACGTCATCGTAACCGAGGGCAGTGACGTAATGTTTCCCATTTGTAATGAGCTGCTTGTTTAAATCTTTTCTTGGAAAAGAAAAATATTGGAAAAACTAAAAAATGGCAAAAATTACGTCATTGCCGTTGCAGAGCATTACGACCTGTTTATTTAGTGTAAACGTGGCTTTAAACTTAAAACGTTTTGTTGTAAACTCCAGTGTTAACCTAGTGTTCTTGTAGAAAAAACGTTAAATAAAGTCCACTGAAAAACTAATAAAAACCTTTTGACAAAACTAGCATTTCTTGGATTCTAAACTTTTTTTAACACAAATATTGTAAACTCCGGTACAAACAAGGCTTAAGACGTAATTTGGAAGAATACACAATTTATTAGTTTCATTTCACATAAAGCTGGATAATGATAATAGCATAATAAACTAATGTTTGAAAAATTATATTGACCATTACAAATGAAATAACATTTGTTTCATATCTGAAATTAATCATATTTTTAAGATAGCAGAACAATCAAGGATTTTTCCATGTAACCTTAGGTACAGTTAGCGACAGTACCTTGAATGTTAACATGACATTAAACTTGATTTAGAACTTTAGTGGGTTCTGTTTCTTCATCTAGAATCGTAGACCAAATGTAAACTCAAATAGTACCTTATAAGTTCTGAATTATTATAATGTTCGCAGCACAGCGTATTCTGCGTGATTCACTTTGCTGCCCTGAAGGCAGTGGGAGAGTCGTGCCAGAAGCCTTTGCTGTATTACAGCAACAACATCACCGGCTCAATTACGTTACTGGAGGTAATAACAGTTTTTTTTTTTTTTTTTAACTGTCTAAGCTAAAAGATTTTGATATGTTATTAGCGTATAGTATCAGATATAAACTTCATCTGCCAAACGGTTGAGTAAATTCTTTAATTTTACCTTTGACTATTGATACAACTAGACATTCCACTCCCATGTTAAATTTGTCGCGAGATTTTTAATCAAAATTGTTATAGTTTATGTGAACCATCGACAGATTGTGCTGATCTAAATTACTAATTTCTGTCGAATACAAGAACATTTTTACCAAGTCAAACTAATGAAATTATATATTATGAGCTATAGCAAGTGTTTTGACCCATCAACTTGGTCAGCAACAAAAAAAAGGTAGAAAATAGAATCTTGGACACTAGACCATTCTGTGATTGGCCCACACAACTACGTTTTTTTTTTTTTTTATATATATAAAAGATTGGCGACAGCTGGTCCATATAGTCATCTACTTCACTATCCAATAGTCAATGATTTTACTAAAACATTTGTTGAAAAAAAACCTGATTTAAATATTATATTTTGCTGGAGTCCTGTCTAGGCTATTAGCTGTCGAGTCTTCAATAGACCACTAGGTTTCAAAATAGCCTACCTCTGGCGCAGCAAACCTGCAAAGCGAATTTCCAATTGCCTGATCTAATTTCCTCTGAAATATTCCCTTAAACATGCTTTATTTATTCCCCATTTAAATAACATTAGATTTAATAAGTATTTAGTTTTGCTGCTACAAGGAATCCCATAAAGTGGGGGTTTTAAAATGTTAATAGTTTTGTATGAAATCAATAATTTTACCAAGTTTTATCAAAATGTACCCATTAACAAGCAAACTGCAATAGTAACTTATTTTCCATAAGATAAACATAGGAATTGTAAATTTATAATTTTTGGAATTTTCTCCGTGACCATTGGACGTATAATGGTGCTTTAACATATAACTTACTAAATTATTAGTTTTTAGGCTCTAAAAATGGTTTTGAAAGAAATTCCAAAATCTGATAGGCTAATTTGAGGGTCAAAAATGGGAAAACCCCATTTTTACCCCATAAACCCCCTATAATACCACATTCCCAAGTCGCAAATTTGTTTGAATAAATCTAGGTTTATATGTTTGTACAAAATTTTAATCAAAATTGGAATCAGATGAGTTTTATCGTGCTATTTTATTGTGCTTAGAGACACATAACAGGTGAAAAAAGTTCTGGGACAGTTTAATATTTCAAAAAGTAAAAAAAAAATTGAGCTACAAGACTTGGTACCAAGTTACTGAACATTAAATCAAATCATTTTAAAACATTATTTAGTGATACAATAGGCTTACCCTCTCAGGGGGGCAGCCCGCTAGGAGTCAGAAGAAAATCCTAAATGCAGACTTAGGTTGATTTTATTCCACCCTGTAAATATAGCTATGTTATCGATCAAGTTTACAAAATCATACTTTATTTCAGGTTATGATAGAGAACGGAGTAAAAAACTTTGTCTATTCATCTTCCTCTACTGTCTACGGCAACCCACAGTTTCTGCCTCTAACGGAGGATCATCCTACGGGTCAGGGTTGTACAAACCCTTATGGAAAGTCAAAGTATTTTGTGGAGGAAATCCTGAAAGATGTCTGTTTGGCTGACAATGTGAGTACGCTCATTAAAAATACTAGTAATCTATATGATATCCCTTAGACTCCACATTACAAAATAGGCATATTACCTTGGTCTGTAGTCCAAAATTTCTATTTAAAATTTACTGACTAGTTTTGTTGCAAGCGCAAATTTGTCAAAGCGTGCAACACCTCAAAACATCAAAATAAATATATAGGTACATAAAACACCACACACAGCACAGACATAAAACTAAACAAACAAAGAAAGTGCCATCATATTTATGTTTAAAACAATTTTACATTGTTGCACTTGTAACAAAACTTTTCAGCCCCCTTTTGATGGAAAGTTTGGACTACAGACAGAGGTTTTGTGAAAAATACCAAGCCTCATAGTCCTATGTAATGTTCTAAGCATTTAAATATGTACCAAATGTTAATCGTTGTAAATATGTGGGAAAATTTGTAGCGTTAGTGCTTCTAAAGGCTTACAATGAAAGTGAATTGTACTTCTAATTAATATTAATTTTACTTAAGTTACAAAATTATTAAATTGGCTGTTGCTGCTTACTAACATACATTCTGTACCGTTTCCCCTCTATTCATCTCTTTTTCTGTCACTCGGAAAAGCTGAAGTTGTTTGAATTCTGAACGTGAACAGATTTATTTATGAATTTGTTCAATGTCTGGGTTTCATACTTTGTTCTGAAACTTGATAAACAAAGCAAAATGTCTAGTTAATAAACGGATTTATTCAGTTTAATGTTTACATAATACTATAGATAAATTAATTATAGATTTGAAGTTCCCTCTTCAGGTTTGTTTACATTACGACCATTTGCATTAATTTTCACTCTTTAATGACAGCTGTTAATATTTAAATTGTGATTTACAAAATCTGTCAAAATGAAGTATTTGAAATGATTTTTTAGATTTTAAAATCGATTTTCTTTTGCATCGTGTCATGTTTTGCAATACTGTATAATGTTCTATTACCAAATCAGTGGAAAATATCACAGTAACTCTTAAGATTATTTCTTATGAAGTTAACTTATATCTATTGTATGGGTTGGTTTCTGCATTTTTACCACTTCTTGGAGATTGTACACTTAGGCATGTTGTACGTAGACGATATTCTTTGGCGTATCGTATCTGTAGACGATACTTGGGTTGGTGTGATTATAAGATTGGAAAAAAGCAAGAAATTCTGGACAATTTGTAGTTTCATATTCTTTAAGTCCACTCTTATCAAGTCATCGGAAATTATGACTGTTATTCGTTTTAAAATAACGCCTGTAATGCTTCACAATTGCCCGAATTCGAGCAACAGGTACGCTAGTAGATTAATTAATTTGTAATATTGACTTGAATCTCTTGCCAATAGATAGAAGTGAAGAAGTGAAGGGACTGAGGCGTGTTCTTCTGATTCGGACTGTGAAAAAAATCTATCTGTACCGAGATGTTTTACTGTTTGGCAGGGCTTCAGAGTTATCAGTCTACGATATTTCAACCCAGTGGGAGCACATCCGAGTGGAGATATCGGCGAGGACCCAGCAGGGCAACCCAACAACCTGATGCCGTACATCGCGCAAGTAGCCGTCGGACGGCGGGCTGAGCTGCTGGTCTACGGGAATGACTACAATACTCGCGACGGCACTGGTAAAGTATACTCATAAAAGGTTTGGTTTGCCTTTGATGCTGCTTGATACAAGCGTAAACAATGTATGAACTTACATTAAAAAACTTGATATTGAAAACAGTGACGACAGATTTTTACGATGTGCAAAGGCTTACGATTAACCAACTTATCCCTGATCCACATAACTCTAGTAAATGGGCTGGCTTGGCAGCTAATGAAAGAGCTTTGAGGCTACTAGTGGAGACCGACCAATGTCCAAACAGCGTAGCCGAAATTAAGTGTGGTGAGGAAGTAGGGGTAGAAAGCAATGACCTTGACTGGGTGGTCAGTTTAGGCCAACGGTGCATGTTATTTGTGGTCTTGCCAAACCCTAGTTGTCATATTATTGTTTGAGCGATGTGAATAATCCAAAATTTTATTCAAACTTATATCACTCCATATTTAAGGTGAATGACGCACAAGGCGAGACCTCTCTTCCTGACTCTTCCAGTCATTTGCCTATTGTTTCTGATGACGATTGGAGTGTCCAATCGAAACTGATCACCCCTTACCATCTTTTACATGTATTTACTGTCTTGTGAGTCAACAGTATAAGTGTAAATGTAATATTGTATTATTACAAGTGTTTTTGACATATTTTTTGTACTTTCAGGTAGTTTAATAACATGTACGATGCTGATCAAGAAGTTGTATTGAATGTGTAATAGTGACATAAACACTTCTACTAAATAACCTTGACCCTGTGCACATGTTGTTTCCAGTTCAGGAATCTCAATACATTATAACAACCAAAAATTTTAATCAAATGTAAAAAACCGGCAGCCTTTATTTCGGTTGCATATGATTTAGTAATAGATTCTCGACAATGTAGCATCAGTAAAAATTAAAAAATATTTATTCCGTAGGTGTGAGAGACTACATCCACATAATGGACCTAGTGTCCGGCCATATCTGTGCCATAGAAAAGCTCCGAGACCCGACGACGAAGGGGTTCAAAACCTACAACCTCGGCACCGGCTCCGGCCACTCTGTATTGGAGGTGAGATGTAGCTTTGTAGTCAAAGTGTATCAATTACAGCCTTCCGCTTCAGTTAGCTATGAGCATATACATATTTTCAGTTAAAATTATGTAAATACCTCCTTTAGGCAATTCACAGATTACTTTCCGTGACGAGCCTCGTCATTTTGTGCCATTTTCAGGCTAGACTTAAGCATGTCTTTACCTTAGCCATATTTTGCTGAAGATAATTAGTTCAAACAACATAAAAGTAAACTAGAGAACCCGTGCGGCTCATTGAGCCGCATAGTATGAAACATAACGCCGCGGAAAACGTTATGCTTGAATTCGAATAATTCTGGTTACATCTTAAAGTTGTTTAAACACTTGTTAGAAACTAATGTTAAATATCTCTAATTCCGTCGTCAAGGTTCACCTACATTATTTCTGCTCTCGGTTTCAACTGATAACTTCTAATGAATGCTAAACGATCTGCTTTAATTCGAGTTAACATGTTGCAACAAAGTTTTTCCAGCATTGACAATTAAAGAAAACTGTTGCCTTATTGATAAACTGTGTTAAGTAATTTAAGTTGGGTCATTTTATTTCTTCGATTTGAGACATCCCCCTAATCAAACGAATTTTCTCCGTAGAGAATCCTGAAAAGTGGGGTGATATATCAACCATTCCATGTGCTCCATTTTTTACATACAAACTCTGGGTTACCAACTGGACAGCCATAATCTGCTTTCAATAGGTTAAAGCAGCAACACTATTGAAAGTTGGTATTTTAACGTGATGTCTGTCAGTCACAGTATATGCCCTGCATCAGAACGTTCCCACTTTGTTCAGTGGAGTTTTTCTTAATACCTGTCCCAAAGTTTTGAAAGTATGGATTCATTTGTCGAAATAGGTCGGATAAGTAACTCTTGTAGCTATAAGATTTGGATAACAATTTCCATTTTATCTTTTTGAACAGCGTATATTATTTTCGTCTCCTGAATCATAAAAATAAACTTGACCGTATCAACTCGATCATTGAATACATAAACACTAATTCCTTCACTCATGCTTGTTCTAATATTGCCGCTAAATCTTTGAGCAAATGCGTTTTTGAAACTTCTTATTTTTGACTTGAAATGTATGTTTTGTGTTGGTGAATTCAGTCAAAAAACTTTGTATAAGTTTGTCTGAGAAACTGGCAACATAACCTAGAAGTAAACAATCCATTTGGGTTTTTTTTTTCAATTAAAGTAGAGCGAATAATACAAAAGTTTCCAATAAAAACATATGGTCCGCCAAGATTTTGTATAATCTTACTACTTGAACTTATCATAGTCAAGGCATTAATATAGTTTGTACTAAATAATTTGAAATTTCTCGATCTGTCACTGTCAGAAGTAAACATTTCTTGCATGCATTCATTTGATCTGACATTAGGCAGGTTTACTATACTCATCTCCATTTATACTTGGCTTAAATACCTACTTTGTATGGTCGCCATTTCATAGAACAGTATTAACAGTATTATTATTGTTTGTACTATATGTTTTGAGATCTGTCAGTGTCAGAAGTAAAAATTTCTCGCATGCATTCATTTGATCTGACATTAGGAAAGTTTACTTTACCATTGTGACAACACAATGTGCCTCGTATATTTTTTCATTTCCAAAGTAAGTTGCATAGCAGAACTGGCAAATATTATTCATCTCACCAAGTGAATGTGTATCTGGATGGGTATCTGTTAGACCAGACCTCTGTTTTTCTACTCTCCTCATACGCATAAGATATCTTATTATTAACTGTTTCCTCCTCCCTGAAAACGGGAGGATATTTCTTCTTTGAACTTGAGGCATTTTCTGTTCTTACAACAAAACTGATTAACTGTTTAACTTGGTCTTAACCTACTCAATATTACAAACATTAATATTTACTCCCAAAAAGCTAATGAGTTTCTTTTTATAAACAGCTGTTTTTTGTTTTTAATTTTGTTCTGTGTATTTCTTATGGAGAAAATCTGACCTTTGAGAGGGTCTCACGCCCTAAAGAGTAGGAATTTTAAAATTCTAAAACCTTATTGCAAAACTACATATTAAGACGAATCTTTTGACACTTTAAACGTTTAAATCGGTCCATAAATAAGGGAGGAGTTGCGTTAACAAAAAAACGGCTTCACGTATTATATATATAGATTGATGCGTATTCATGAGTGTGTACGTGTACATCCACATTTTCGGTGTTAGAACAAATAACATTCTTTAATAGATGACAAGGATATGTCAAAGTACAGCCTGATAGTACCACTTTTGTCTCAAGACAAGCCGTTAAATGCAATTCGCTGATTCGATAACTTTCCTCAACTTTCACTCGCTGTTTGGCAGGTGATTGAAGCGTTCAAGACAGCGAGTGGCAAAGATGTCAAGTACAAGGTGGTCGGTCGACGTGAAGGTGACATTGCTGAGTCATATTGTGATGCAAGTCTGGCCTCCAAGGAACTTAACTGGAAAGCAGAAAAGTCCCTGAAAGAGATGTGTGAGTACTGAGTATATACTATCTTTTTAAAATGTACAGGCATTTAAAATGACATGGGTGAACAGTTGAATTAAATTTTAGGACCTTGTATAAGTTTTTGAATTTTTGTATAAATATTAATCTAGTTGAATTGAGTTACCGACAGATTGCGTTGATGTCAGTCACTAATTTGTGTTAAATACGCAAATTTTTTCTCCAAGCCAAATTGATTCGATAACTTAATTTGACAAAAAACATTTTTACATCAAAAATCATTTTATCAAAACCCAAAAGGAAAAAATCAAACTTTGACAGGAGCGCATTCTGTGAGTGGCACATTCAACTATGACCAATTTAAATAGAATCTGTCAAAATTTATCATTATAAAACTGAAAAGATTACAAAATTATTAATTAAGTTCAATAGTAATAAAGAAACTTTCAAGAAAAATTAACAACAAGTTAATATGAAACAAGTTACCAAAAGCCTGGTTGAATTTATCAGAAAGAAAATTTGCAAATGTATTGTATTCCTGGCTAGTAAAAAATCCTTTTTATGACATAGATGAATATATTATGAAATGTGAGTTTTTGTTGCCTAGTTAATATGACCTTATTGTAGACAGATTAGATATATTTCTGTGACATTTATTTATATATTACATGTGTCTTTTGACAGAACAAATATTTGTTTCCTTGTTAGTTTGTTATTTGCTAGTTAAGTTTGGCGATGTCTATTACAATATGTGTATATTGTTGAAGGAATAAAGAATTTGTCTATTGTCTATTGTCAATATCATCCAAAAAGTAAAAGACTCATACTGAAACAATTTATGATTATATAAAGGAATGTTTTGAGTCAATTTTCTTTTATATTTAAGATCTATTTGGATTTGGATAGCAACTTGTGTGAATTGATGCTGATGTATTTTCCAGGTGAAGATATGTGGAGATGGCAGGCGAAAAATCCCAACGGTTTCCAAGGTGCCTCTTAACAAATGGGTTGCTGTAGTGCCTAAGTATTTTTCATGTTAAAGCTCAAAGAGTGTTTTAGAGACCAAAGAAATACCAAATACTTAATATTGTCGTTGAATACAAATCTGTTATAGCTTTTTAGTCGGTAACATAAAAGTAGAATCCTGCTAATACTAAAGCAGAACAATTTTTGAAAACAAATTTTACTAGACCTGTAAGCACATAAAGTACAGAAAATAATTTTGTCAAGTTTGGTTGTTTAATGTACATTTAAGAATCTTAATTTTCTAAATTTTCCGTCTAAAAATAATATATGTCTAGCTAAAATTAATACACACTTCAAATGAACTCACATACATACTAAGAGATCAAGTTAGATACTGGCCCGCTAATAGTCTCAAAATGCCCATCATATCGAATCGATTTTACCTTTCATAGTTATTGCCACACTACATTGCACTGAATTAGAATATTTTTAATTTCTTACCTTTAATTGTATTTAATTCTAGACATAGACGCTTCAAAGACGATTAACAAGTTAATTAATATACGGGACCAAATTCCACCTTCTAGCCTAATTTGTATTAGCAGGATTCTACTGTAATTCGTTATTCTGTTATTTGCGAAGAAAAAAAAACCATTGCTTTCCTATTTCTTATGATTTCTAGTCTTGATGTTACTATATTGTGAATAACTAATTGTTATGATCTATAAAAATTCACGTTGAACAAACTGTACTTTGATATCACTGTTGACTGAAATCATCCACCATATATTATAATTGTGTGTCGAACGATTGCACGATGTATCCAAAATATCGTTATTTGAAGATACAAATAATGAAAGTCGCACAGCTTCTTTTGATGTTGTTATTTTCAGCTTATTTATATTATTGCTTTTAAAGAATCATTATTTTATCCATCTCGTGTATTTGTAATGTCTTCTATTTTGTATCCTACGTAACATTCCTTTACATGTAACTGTTAGCGAACTACTTAGTAATTAAGATACCGGTGCCATAAATGTGTGTTTATTTTATATTATTTTAAACTAAAGTACCAAAGTTTGCCTTGCTAGAAAAAAATACCAAAGCATTTGAACAGAAATCTGTTGCATTTATTTTTTGTTACTTGAGCCTGTTGTCTGCGGAGTAGGCAGGATTTTTACTAGAAAAAAAAACATAAAGCCAAAACCTAATTATTTTGTATACAAGAGGTTAAGTTACCTTGATTCTGTCCAAATAATCCTTTAAGTCGTCATTAGTGCGACCAGTTTCGATGTCTATGATGGCATCATTGTCAAGCTGGACGTAAAATCGCTCCTAGCTTGACAATGATGCCATCACAGACATCGAAACTGGTCGCACTAATGACGACATAAAGGATTACTTGGACAGAATCAAGGTAACTAAGCCTCTTGTATACAATTCATGAAGTAATCCGGAAGGCACTACACAAGATCTAATTATTTTGACGTAAATGTATAGCCTCACTATATATAATCCAAATAAAAATTAATAGTAAGTAATAAAACTGCAATAGAAAATATGAATTTATGTTAATATATTTTTAAGACCTATATTTTAGGACTGAAATCCAATCAAAGGCTCAAAAAAGCTTTTGGGATACTAAAAATCCAACCCCTAGCCAAAGAAAGACTTCAGGGGTTAAAGTTGCACCGCTCTTTTGTCTCATTGTCATTACAGTACAGGGTAATGTAGAAATTCTAGTCAAAATGTTATCATTGATTTCTGTATTTAGGTGTACAAAAACTATGCTTTTGCTTTTAGTAATAAATATATCATTATCATATTAAAAATAATAACCTTATTTATCTTGTTTGTCGTAGATGTTTCGGTTTCTATTAAATTTTATTTTGAAAACTGAGTTTATTAATAAACTTTGCCTATTAGACACAGTAAAAAAAAAACTTAAATTTACGATATAAATAACATGTAACATAGATTAATAACTTTGTCCATATAAATGATTTTGAATGATTTTACATGATTCTTTTAGCACTTTTATGACTATTTCATTTTTTAATTTTGATGGAAGATTATATTTTTTTAAAAATTCGTCAAAAAATTTTGTAATAGTCCCTCTTGCACCAATCATTATACCAATTACTGATATAGAATTTAGATTATATTTGTTTCTTAAATAAGTTTCACATTTACTATAAATTTTCCTCTTTTCTTCATCTACTTCTAGGGGTTGATTTGTTGATGTTTCGAACCTTATTGTTGGATCAATTACAATTCCACTTTTAGATTTTGTATCATAAATTAAAATGTCCAATCTTCTGTTCGATCCACCATCTTCAGTGCAATGTATTTCTTCTACTACTTGCCAGCCTTTTTTTCGTAGTTCTTCTGCGATCATTGCTCTTACAGCATGGTGTCTTGCATTACGCAGTAAGGCACCAAAGGGACAAGAGCCAAGGACATGCGGAAGGGTTTCAGGCTCCTTGCAATGTCTGCAAAGGGTTCCGTCCTGGCTTCGCCCTGGTACGCTGCGTACTGGTACAACACCAGATATCATTTTTAATGAAGTGATCCATTCTCCTGTAGTAAGGCCATTTTTTAAATATATCCATGTGTTGCTACTAGGCACTTCTTTGAATAATTCTATTCCTCTACCTTTACATGGTAATTTAGACCAAAGTTCAAATTCTTTCAACTGTAATTTTGATCTCAAATTTAAACCAATTCTTTTTTTCTCTTTAAATTCAAAATCATGTGTAAAAATTTCATCAATTTCTATTTGAAGTTTTTGAAGTGACATGGTAATTCTTTGGGGGATGTTTATTAGCTCGTTTACATGGCTATTTTGTACGTTTTTTAGAATTACACACATATTTATATGCTGTATAGAACTTTCCCATTTTGCTCGAATTATTCCCAGACCTTTGAATCTTTTAGGGGAATATAAGAAAGAATTGGGTGTGTCACTTGGTAGAGTGAGAATTTCTTTTACTGCACTTCTAATAATTTTATCGATGTCCTCAAGAAATGTAATACTTATTAATTCGTTTGGTGTTACTTGCAAAATATATGTTAGTCTAGGCCAGAGGTACTGATTTATGATATTCAATTTCTGATTTGGTCCTAAAACACTAGTTCCAACTAATCTTTCTAGATCTTTTTGAAAGTTTTGTATAACTTCACACCTATCAAAAACTATTTCATTTTCAAAATTTACACCAAGATATTTAATTTTTTCCCCAAGTTTTAGAGTATTGAATTTAATAACATTTTGTTCATTTTCAATGTAGATGTCCTCTTCAACAAGTTTACCTTTCTTAATATTAATTATTTTTGATTTATTTATATTAATATCAAGGTCAATTTGAGAAAGTAGTTCTTTTGTTGTCCTAATCAATTTAGACATTGATTTGTCTGTGTTAGAGAATAACACTATGTCATCTGCAAAGGCAGCGATGCTAATATTGTCTAAATTAGAATTAATGTTATATCCAAATTTGTTAGATACTTCTTTTTCTGAAATAGTATTTAAGATATCATTTATAGCTAGATTAAAAAAGATTGGAGAAAGGGGAGACCCTTGAAAAACACCTCTTTTCAATAAAATTTTTTCAGATTTGGTATTTTTAATCCTAATTCTTGTATAGTTATCTTGTATTAAATTTATTAATAAGTTTTTTAATATTGAAGGCATTTCTGTTGATTGGAGACATCTTTTTAAATGTGCGTGACCAATAAAATCAAATGCCTTTGAAACATCTAACATAGCAATCATACAGTCTTTTTTATTCGTTTTTGCATCTTGTAAACAACCATTGACCAGGGCTAGGTTTATGAAGGCTCCAGGTTGAGCTACAAACCCTCTTTGGTTGACATTAAGTTCTATGTAATTTCTTGTTCTTTTCTCCAGCACTCTCTCTATCAATCTTCTAAGAGTTGAACAGACTGAAATTGGTCTCCAATTAGCAGGATCAGCAGGATCATTCCCTTTATATATTAAAATAGTTTTTGCTTCCCTAAAACTTTCTGGGACTAAATTAAATTTCAACATAATATTTGTCAGATTACATATTGTTGGGATACAATTGTATGTCTTTAAAGTTCTGATTAACACTCGGTCAGGGCCAGGTGAACTGTCAATCTTCATTCCTTTCAAGGCTTGTGAAAGTTCTTTACAGGTAATTTTGACTTCAACCTCTGTGTCTAATGAGTTAAGATGAGTTAATTAATAAGAATACCAGATAGATTACGCCATTTTCATGGATGTAAAAGTTTTAAAAAATTATGACATTCCAACAACTTAGTATCAATTTTAAAGTAAGATTTAAGATTTGTTGGAAATATATTAAATTTACTTACTTGGTCCAATCAATGCCGTGGTAGTTTGTTTTTTCAACTGATATCAAAATGTTCATTACATTTTTGTATTGAGTTTAGTTTAAAATAACTGGGTACAAACTATATTGTAGTATTGTTTAGCTTGGGCAAGGTTTATTTGTGCATGCTTGTTTGTTGGGATATTGAAAATAAAATGTTATTGTTATTCATATCAGATGTGTTATTTCAAAACCAAAATGGAATGGTTAGTTAAATTTGTTAGCAACTGTTGTAACCTCTGTCCTACTAAAATTGGGTTTATGTGTTCCTTGTTGTGACTTAAAATTTAAGATTGAAATTTGAAGACACTTCTTCAATTTTCACATTTTCCCTCTCCTTACATCCTTACAACTCAAGGTATCTATTAGAATCATTTTCATTCTACTATCAGAGAAGTCCCAGCGTATCGGAGTTAAAAAAAGTGCCCTGAAAACGACTGTTTGTCACTTACAAGGAAGGGGTCCCTCAACCTTTCATGAAGATAATTTTATTGAATAAAATGCTATGTGGACTAACTGGAGCAATGAAAAGGTAATGGTCAGATCTCAGAGTTTTTGTGAAGTTTCTAGAGTCTCCTCCGAGGAGTCAAGAACTTAAAAATAGTCAAAAGCCTCCAGACCAACATCATCAGGTAAAAGCCACCCTTCCCTTAAGAGTCTTCATCAGTGGTAGCCATCTTGAATCTTAGTCCCATAAGACTAATGTTAACTTGGTGACGGTATTACGTCTCTTCCGATTGTTGTAAAGATATAATTTTTATGTCAAATTAAAGGTATGGTAGTTCTCTAGCTAATGTATTGCGTAAATTGTTCATTACGAGGCTAAATTTTGAAATATGAATAAATTAGTGAGCTATAAATCAAACATTTTTTAACTACAAACTAAACCATATTTTCAAAAAATAACTAATACATTAGCTAGAAACGTGCCTTATAATCATAATACTAAATTTTGGAATTTTTATTTCCATAAATAACTGTGTAATTTTGTGACAAGTAATTACGTTGAGTATACTGATCGGAGCGCAGCAGAGTGGCCAAGCGGGGAAACTCGTGAAGGCGGAGTGATACACTGAAGTTTCGGAGAGAGTGGCGCGAGCCCATATAATTTAAAAACTACAAATTATTGGGCAATCGTTTGCTGTATTACCACTTTTGTATGTATCCGGAACTCTTGGTACTACTTATTAGACGTGATTGATGCTGCTTTAAGCAATCAGATGATTGTGCTTCAAAATACTGTAATGAATATTAATTTTTCTTTCGATTAGGCAGATTGATTTTGAAAGCCACAGGAAGTTCTTATGCGAGAATTCTTCTACGTATGTAGTGTATGAGTAAATTTAATGATGTAATGTATTGTTTTGCCTTTGTGAAGACTATGATTTAGTAATCCGGAAAGGGGCACACAAACAATGTAAGCCAACGACATAACGGCACAGGGGGCTGTGAACTAAAAAGCGCTTCTTCTACATAGAAACGAATAACAAACAGGAAACTCCAAGTCGTCTGGACCAGTCTTATCCCCTAATGAATTCTGTGTAGCTGAATATATCTTACTAAATATAGTAGTTAGAAGTACTATATCGTGTGTGATAAATAATTTAGAGTGTTTTACATTCGCGAAGATTGTAGTTGTTAGTTTTACGTAGCCTACTGCAGATTTGAACAAATCCCAATATTTTTTTTTTAAACAAGGAGTCTTAACTAATTTCAAGACAGAAAATCAAGTTACACAATACACATCCCACAAAAAAACATCAAAAACTGCAAAATCTAAATGTACACATTGATAATGTGTAATTACTTATGAGATTGAAGATAACGTACTAGTATAACATTTTTAGCTTTAATCGCACCTTGCATTGCTTTGCAAGGCAAGATAGAATCAGATTTCTTATACAGTACTGACAACTGGACGCCGTGATCGCGGCAATACCATATGCATATATATACACCACTGGATCGCTGACCAGTATAGTTATTATACCCAAATCAGCAGAGTCTGTGAGTGCTATAAAAACAATAAAATTGTCTTCAGCTGTTCCATAAGGATGAGAAATATACTAAGGGAGTATGTTTTATCTATGGTAGTGTTGTGTGTTGCCTTTGTGGAGATTATGATTTAGTGTCCCGAAAAGGGTGGCAACAATGTGATCAAACTAAACAACCGCACATTGGGGCTGTAAACTAGAAAGTGCCTCTTCCTAGAAATGCCTAACAAATAAGGAAACTCCTAGTCTTCAGAACCAGTCCCATCCCCTACTGGAACTCAAACGGCTTAGGCCACTGTTACACTGTTATTACACTGATTTTAATATTTTTATTGGTAGTTGTTTTATGGATGATGTTATCATTCTAGCATTCTTATGGCCTTACCATCTTGTCGCATTATGGTTTTGTTTTAGTTTATTTCGTAGAAAACCCCAAGTAAAATAAAGTTGTAGGCCTATATACAGTACTAGCTGTGTGCCCATCATGAATTTTTAAA